CCTACAGCTGCCTCTTCACAGGAAAGAGACCCGTCTAAGAGGGTTTGTTGGAGAACAGGGCATCATGATAGGAACATTTCAACAGATGGCCCCTGCCGCTTGCCTCCCAGTTTTTTGTTTGGGGGCCACGCCCAGCAGTACTCAGGGGTTATTCCTGGCTCTGCACACAGAAATTACTCCCTGGGCTCGGGAGACCACCTGGGGTGCCAGGGATCAAACTCAGGTCTGATGTGTGCAAAGCAAGTGCCTTACCCACTATACCATGTCTCCAGCCCCTCCTCTCAGTTTTCTGCTGAAACAACTTCAGTGATTTTCACCAGCACTATTAGCACTTATAAACCCCCTCAAAGCAAAAGTGCTGTCACTCTCTCTGTATTTATCTCTCTCTCTCTCCTCTCTCACTCACTTGATCTCTTTCGCTCTTTCTCTCTCACAGTCTCTGTTCCCTCTGCCACCTCCCTCCCCAGAACAGTGATAAATACCTAGAACTGCTTTCAGAGGGTCCTGTCACATGGAATGACACCCCATCTACATTAACTTTAAGGGTCCAGTGCGAAGTCTGCAGCTCAGAGGCCCAGAGCTGTCTTCCCGCGCCTTCACAGAAGATAACGCGAGAATGGTGAAAGGCTGGGAGGCGAGAGCTCAGAGCAAGGTGGATGAGAGGCAGAGGGGGCAGCGCCAAACAGCACGGAGACCCGATGGGCATCATGCAGTGCAGAGTCACCTCCTGGCCACCTGCCTGTCACTTCTCAACAACTCAGCCTACAGCTCTCTTGGCCCTGGCTACCCTGTAGCAAATGATTAAAAACAACCAACCTCGACACAGTTATTTCTGGGAATCCTCAGGAGGAAATGCTGAAACAGCATCCCCACCCCTCCTTTATTAACTGTAAAAGGAGGAAAACCCCCAAACAACACTAGTGGGAAATCTGGGGGAGAATATTTTTAATAAGAAATACTTATAACAAAATAGGAGACTAACACCCAAGGATAGTAGAGATAAGGACCAGGAGTATTGCTCCATGGCTTGGAAGCTGGCCTCACATGCTGGGGGAAAAGGCAGCTGAGATAGAGAAGAGACCACTAAGTAAAGGATGCTTGGAGAGCCCACTCGGGATGGGAGATGCATGCTGAAAATAAACTATAGACCGAACATGATGGCCACTTAATACCTGTATTGCAAACCACAACACCCAAAAGGAGAGAGAGAGAGAGTAAAAGGGAATGTGCCTGCCACAGAGGTGAGCGGGTGTGGGGTGGGGGGAGGTGGATGAGGGTGGTGGTGGGAGAGATACTTGGAATATTAGTGGTGGTGAATGAGCACTGATGGAGGGATTGACTCTAGTCAATCGTTGTATGACTGAAACATAAGCACTAAAGTTTGTAAGCCTGTAACTGTATCTCATAGTGATTCATTAATAATAAATAAATACTTATGAGTAGCAAACGTAAAAAATGAAAGCTAAGAAGGACAACCGCGTCAAAGCTAAGGCTGACAATAGGCAGGAGATATCCAGGCCCTCCATGTTGTCATAATTCATATAGACGAGGGTTGGGGGTCAGACTCTCTAGGGAGAATCTAGGCCAGGCCATGGCTTAAGGTGCCCACGACATTAAGAAGGAACGTAATAAAAGGAATTCTTCGAAGCTGAGGCTATTCGAAGCATCCACAGGAAAGGAAAACCAATGACAAGTTCAACGTTCATTGGCTGCAGAGTAGGGTGGCAAGAACAGGTAGGAGGGGCAGAGGCAAGTTTTAGGAAGCGAGACGACTCAGCCTGACATTACAGAGCAGATCCAGGCTCCAGGTCGCTGCACGGCTGCCCAAACGGGCGGGTCACACAGAGCCCTGAGCGGCCATGGAAACAAAGGGCAAGAGTCCATAATAATCGGCTGAGGCTGCTCAGTCACTGTGACAAAGCATCACACTCACAAAAGCCAAGCGCAGGAGGGGAAACCATGTCTATTGAAACTCCGGCCTAACCTCAACAGTGTTCTACAAAAATAGTCTGTTAATTAAAAAAAAAAAAATCATACCTGAAAAAGAAATCGCGGGTCGGGGGTGGGGTGGGGGGGGGGGGGAGGACAGGGAATTTAATTGTTTCATTTGTTTGGGTTCCTATGGAAAGACTTTTAACCTTGAATGGACACAATTAATCAACGAGAAGTGACTCGAGTCTAACATCCAGTGACTGTTCACAAAGAGTGGGAAATCTCTAGCTTATGTTTGGTTGTGAAACACAGCTGGTGCCGGGAAAGGTGGGGAGAGCAGGGTCTGCTGGGGAGAAAGTAAAGGTAGAGCAAAAGGCTTGTATGCACCCCTTCCTAGCTGAATCCCTGCCAGCACAGAACTCATCCCCCAAGGTCTGGGTGCACCCCTGAGGCCCCCAAGGACCGCCGAGTTTTGTCCCTAGAAGGCCCAGCATCACTGAGGCTCAAGTGTCAATGTTCCTGAGCGGGATGCTAAGCTGGGTGGTCCCCGCCAGCTGTGCGGGTAGTCTCCTGCCTTGCACCTTGACAAACCTGGTTAAAGAACTCAAAGAGGGAAGAGGCTGAAGTTGAAAGTTAGGCCTGGGGTCATGGTGAAGCTGATACAGCCTCAGGTTCGTGCTTGCCCAAACTGTCAGCACATGGCTCCGTGTCTGGGGGTCCAAGAGCCAGCGCACAGCCATACACAGAACAATCAGGTGTCCAAGAGCTGAGTGCTGGCCCCTGTGCCAGGCTCTACAACCTCCCTGAAACAGTCAAGAGGCCAAGCTAGAACCCACATGGCATTTGCAGGTCCCTTGGCATCACAGGCAGGTTAGAGTTCCCTGAGCAACAATGGCAGCAGACTCTGAAGGGGCTGTGAAACTTCACAGATGCCTTCCAGGAAGAGGAGGAGGAAGGACACAATTCTGGGGGTGATTCTAAATGTGTGAAGAGTCTATCCCTCCTTCCTGGCCTCGGGGCCCCAATGGTAATGAGGACTGGTTTGAAGTATTCCAGCAGCCAGGGTAGAATAGAAAATTCTAGAGCTCTGACAATGGGGCGACAAGGATATTCTTTCTGCGCCTTAAGATGGTTTAGATTCTAGTAAGGGCCTAATGAGCAATTTTGCCTGTAGATCCACTGGACACTTACAATCAGATCTCTACATCCCACTCCTGTCATGAATTTGAAGAGTAATGGAGTAACCCTTGGGACCCTTTTGTAAAACTGTAACATAAAAAACCAGGCAGGTACACGGGCATTGTCACTTGGGTCCCTCCTCCAAGTGACTAAAGGAGCTGAGTTTATCCCTCCCTTCCAGCCTGTGCTCCAGCCCAGCGGGACAGGCTGCAGCTTCTCCATTCAGCTGGAAGCCTGCAGCTCCTGTGTCACTCCTCAGCTGACAACTGGCCTGCACCTCACAGGACACTGCCCCAAGGAGGGTCCCTGTGGCCCAGGCTCCTCCCCCGGGAGCACCTTCCTGCTCCTTCCCCTGTCTGGTGTCTCACTGTAGATTCTTCAAGGGGCCAGGCTAAGAGGATGAATTTCAATATCAAAGACTTCATAATCATGTACCCACAATTTGACTTTGGAGCAATGACTTCAAATAAAAAGGCAACTTCACTCATTTTGCAAAAATCAAATACAAATCAAAAACTACAAAAAAGCAGAAGAACCCTTTCTTATCCAGTATGGGGCATCTCAAGAATTACTTTATGCAACATATGTGAAAGCCTCACCCCGGGAGACAGTAAGTATTCAACAGTTTCTTTCTATCCCTCTACCCCCACCGTATACCCTACTCTCTGGAATCTCTCTTTTATTTTACTATATATATTTATTTAATTATATATAGTAAATATATATTATAAATTTATTAGTCAACCTGAAATTACAAAGTTATTTGTAATTTTTCTCTGTTTCTCTCTCTCTCTCTCTCTCTCTCTCTCTCTCTCTCTCTCTCTTCTCTCTCTGTTTCTCTCTCTTTCTTTCTCTAAGTTTTTGTACTGTGGTTTAACTCTCTGGATTCTTAAGAGATGTTCTGACTAAAGACATAAGAACAAACTCCAAGGTGTAGGCAGACTGGTTGAGAACGGTGGGCACACTGGCACTCCAGGGCACTGGGAGTATGAACTTGAAGGGAAAGTCCTGAATTTCATTCTGCCTCATTCCACAGAGGAGCAGATGCAGCAGGAAGCCAATGCTACCAATGCAACTTTATTTCCTGGGTGTTGCGACAAAAGGGTATGCCCAGGGCTTACTCCTGGCTCTGTTCTCAGGGGTCACCCCTGAAAGGGATGCTAGGTATCAAACCTGGGTCAGCTGTGTACAAGGCAAGTGCTTTAACTCTATGGACTATCTACCAGGCCCAGCAGCAATGTAACATTATAAAAAGGACATAAAAATATAAAATTTAAGCATAGGATTATGGGTTTTTTCCCCTTCCTCTTGCTATTGAGAAGAACACCATACTTATTATAGTTATGCTTTTAAGCAAAAGCATGTTTTTCAGAGGTGTATGTTTAAATGTGATTCCAACACTTTCTCTTTGGTCTGCCACATTATGTCATAGCAAAAATGTAATCAATGACACTCTGATCAATGGGACTGGTGGTGACAGGTGCTCTTAATTCACTGAAGCTGTGATTATTGACAAGTAGGTAATGATCCCATGTACCTTGTCCCTCATCAAGGGCATTAGCATTCCTTAAAGGTCAATACCAAGTTCTTTCAAAAAAATAAAAGTTCTTAGAAACCTGGGAAATCTCTTTTTTTTTTTTTGATCTAGGTTTCACATTTAGAACTTCAGGAAGTCTGTGAGACACCCTTTACCCATGTCCCACAATGAACTGGTACTTTTTTTTTTTTTGATCTTAAATTCTTGGCTGTCAAAGTGTGTGGCAAAACTTTTCCAGTGGGTGAATGAACAGAGGGATTTCTGAAAGCTACTTATATCTCCTGGAGACCCAGGCACATAGTCAGCACAAGCCCAAGACAATTTTGTGGTAAACACAATTCAAGATACTTACTCTGTGACACTCTTACCAGCTCGGTCACACTAAAAACACCTGATGTGACGAAACTGTCCTGGAAGCCCAAATGTCCTGGGAAAATAAGAACAAGAGAAACCAAGTGTCATTGACAGAAACCAAGTGTCATCGATAGACTGACAAGAGACTTTTAAATAGGAGTTTCATGGTGACATCTCATTTCACACTAGACACGAGGTAACATTTGCGTGTGAGGGCACAGTCATTTCGTAGGGTAGCTGCATTTCTGAGCTGAATCTGGAGGCCATGGGAAGCTGAACACAAACAACTGGATGATTTTTTTTTTTTGAAATGGCTAAAAAAAAAAAATTCAACAGGAAATCTGAAACAAAAGAGGATTTAAAATAAATGGTTACCTTGGCTGACCTTTGAGAATTTAAGGACTGGGATGAAAACAGGCTACCTAAGAATCAACCCAGAGAACTAAATTCCACCATCATTTTAAAAACATTATTCTCTAAAGAAACATCTGATGAGGATTAGATCGCATTCATTCAAATCCAACAAGATTTAAGGGTGTTCCCTTTATTTTAAGATACAATAAGTGAATCCTGTAAATTCCCGGGACTACAGAAAGTAACCCAACCCTTGAATACTGAAAATAAATTCTTCCAAGTATAAGTAATTTAGAAGTTTTTAGACAAAAATAAAAATTCTCTCCTCCACACCTCCCCATAGGTTTATTTATTTAATCTTAAAGATAATCATGCAACAGTTCCAATGTATCTTGTATTTCTTATCTTCTTTGCTTTTGTGGGACTTTCCTTGAACAAGGTTGATATTCATTATTATTTGTTTATTTATCTTTACAGTAGAAGCTGAAATATAAAACTTAGAAAAAGCAAAGAATACATAATCAATAACATCATTTTCCATTCTCCCTCTAAAGCTTTTTCATTCTCTGAGTCTCAAATAGGTAGACTTGATATGTTATATACTATTAGCATAATCAACTACTTTAAAATTAGGAGTAGTTGGTTAGAGGAATTTTAAAATTAAGTGTTCTTCATAATTTTGTATACCTTTAGGGAATGTAATGTGAAAAAATATAGGCCAATCTGAGTATGTAGCAAAAATCCATTTAAAATTATGTTATTGATAAAAGCTAGATTTTGCCTACTAAGGAGAAGCAAATTTACCTGTGGCATCATTTATGCATGAATAAATTTTATTAAATGTCATGCACATAAATACATGCAAAAATCCTCATATTTGGAGGATTATAACAACATATAAATTATTATTTTTTTCCTTATGTTTACATTGGACTTCTGCATAAGGAAGTTGTTTTACTGAGACTTAACAGAAAATAATTCACTTAAATTTTATATCAAACAGAGAATCCAGGACATTTTACAAACAACAGCTCGAAATTTTAGGGTACTACACTGCCATGAAAGTAGCAAAATCTCTTCATTTGAAGAACTTCTTAAGAAGTTTTATCTCCTAGGGGTCAGAGAGATGATAATACAGCAGGTAGCATGTTTGCCTTGCACGTGGCAGACCACAGGTTGGATTCCCTGCACCCCACCATCTCCTGAGTCCCATCAGGGGTGATCCTAGAGCAGAGGGCCAAGAATAAGCCCCGCGAACCTCTAGGTATGGCGCCAAAACCAAAAACAAAAACAAAAAAATATTAAAAAACGTTTCAGCTCTCAAAATAAACCACACCCAGGTCCTTAGTAGACTTTCATCTCGTAAGTGCCCAAGGTGTCTCCTGGATTAAGAGAAGGAGAAATAAGGGTAAACAGTGATAGAAAATTTATCCAGTGAGACCTTGACAAAACAAGCCAGAATATCTCTTCCTATTGTGACAATGTTAACATTAAACTTATCCCTCAGACCAAAACAAAGGAAATCCCACCACAATGTATATTAAGTTTGTCTTAAAGCACACAGAACAATGGCAAGGAAATTCCCAGGTAAACCGGGAAAGCTGGGTTCATCTCCAGCTCCTGCTCATCTCCTTGTCACTTGCTTATGGGCTGATACTTGTTTCCGTTCCAACCTCTGAAATTCCTGACTTCAAGGAAGACTTCATAGGAATTTCTATACAGAGTAGACGTGAACACATGTACTTTCAGGCTGCCCCCGAAAGAGCAAGCGATGTATTGTGAAAGCCAAGTCTCATCTGGCAAAGGCCTTGAGAGGGGGAAACCCCTACATTCATCCATTCAAACTCTCATCTCTCATGAGGGTCCCTTTCTTTCGTCCGCCTCTGAAATGCGGTCCTTCTGCGGGGCTGGTGCCCATCCATCCTAAGACTGTGCTACTGTTAACTTCCTTTGAGGACGTCAGCGATGGGTCTTTACTGCAATGGCTACGAACACTAGCTTGCTTCCTTCAACACTGTCTTTCATGTCTGGGAAAAAGCAGTTAGTAAGGATATTTGTGGGATGAGTAAGTGGTCTACAGGTCAATCATCCTCAAATCATTATCTTTAGCCAACAAGACCTCCCTTCTGGGTTCCAAACTCATAGATTAGAATGCTTATGGCAAGGGCCAGGACCACTGGCCCATGATTGGCAGCCTGCTACCAAGCAAGTGGTGCAGTGGGAAGGGTAGTTAGGACAGAGAAGGGACCACAATGACAGTGATAGTTGGAAATGATCACTGGACAAGAACTGAGTGCTCCAAGGAGGTAAAGGGATAAACCTGATAACCTTTCAGTACCTATATTGCAAACCATAATGCCCAAAAGGAAGGAGAGGGAAAGAGAGCAAGAGAGGGAGAAAGAAGAAAAGTGCTTGCCAGAGGCAGGCTGGGCGGGGGTAGCAGGAAGGAAACCGGGGACATTCGTGGTAGGAAATGTACACTGGTGAAGGAAAGGGTGTTGTAATACTGGATGGCTGAAGCCCAATCATGAACAACCTTGTAACTTAGTATCTCACGGTGATTCAATTAGAAAATGAATATAAATAAATAAATATTTATGGACTACTTCTACCTGAGAGCACACAGCTATACCCAGATCAGTATGTCCAAAGCTGAAATGATTTTTCTCCCCTGAAATCCATTCCTACTCGCCTGAACCTGTTACTTCAGTGACACAGCCAACATTCATGGAGTTGTCAATGTTTGGGTGTCATTCCTGACTCCTGCCTCTTACAAACATGCTATCCAACTAAACCCAAATGATTCCATTTCCCGACTATTTCTTGACTCCCTGTGTCTCCATCTGCCCCCTCTCACTGTGGCTCAGGCTCTTTCCAATTCTCACCAGCAGGATGGAACAGCCTCTTCACCATGCTCCCCAGCCTGGGCCTGGCCTTCTCATCTCTACTCTGCAGCCAGAACTGTCTCCCTCACCAGGCAAGTCTGACAATTCCTTCACTTACTCAACAAAGACTTCCTGGAGTGCCTAGGATATGCCAAGCACTGCATTGTGTGAGGGGTGTTTGACATACTGGCCCTATCTTTAGGAACTATGCAATCTAGAATTAGAAACTATCGAAAACGTGTGAAACAAGTGAATTATTTTAAAAAATTGCAAGTGGTGCTATGGATCTGGGGAAATAAATAGCACAGGCTACAGAAAGGGTGGTCCTAACCCATGGGAGATACCAAGAATACCAAAGGCAGCAAAGGTAAATAAAGAGTGCTCTGGTAGAGAGAGTCATGGGCAAAGGCCCTGAGGTAGGCAAGGACAAGGTATTAGAGACTCTTCAGTCTTTTATTTTTACTTTTTTTTTATTTCATCAACCTATCACTGATTAAAAATTTTGTGGAATTCAAGAATATTCAATATGTGTAGGTGTCATAACTTCTGAGAGAGAGAAAGAGAGAGAGAGAAAGAGAGAGAGAGAAAGAGAGAGAGAGAGAGCTGTATTCCAAATACAAGATGACAAAGAAACGTAGTAAGGAGCAACAAATGGTCAAAGTCATCGGGACAGAGGAGTGTCTGTCTATAGAACTAAGCTCAAAGGTGGGGTGGGGGGCATAGGAGGGGTCCATGGGACACTGGTATAGGGAAGGGTGTTCTCTGGTGGTAGGTGAGGTATTAGAATGATGCATTTGTGAAAAGTATGAGTAATGATATATTAAATCGCAGTACCTACATTTGAAAATGTTTTGTTTTGTTTTTAAAGGATAAGGCATCAGAGAATCTGAGATAAATCACATGTGTTCAGCGTCCAGTGTCCGGTGAGAAGAGCATCACGAGAGCAGCAGGGTGCATACCGGCTGCTTCTCGTGGTTGACAAGAGCAAGATAGTCTCTGTTTCCTTTTGCTGCCTCATTTTTCATCTCCTATCTCCCACTCTGTTTGACCGCGGGCAAAGTGACACTTGCTTCCCTGCGGCCTGACCCACTCTCTCCCGCATTCTATCACTTCTTCCTCAACTGCCGTCTCTCCCAGCTTTTACTCAGCCCACTGAAGGGACAATTCAGACTTCTTCTCCTGTTAGATTACCTCAACTATTTTCAGTGTCCTAGCCCTCTGGGGTCTAATCCAGTACCTTATGAATCCCCCAGAGATGCCTCTGATTTAATACTGCAAACTGAGCTCCAGCATACTTATTTTCTTTTATAAGAACACCTGAGGGAACTAAAGAAACTCCTGTTTCTTTCTCTCACTTCTTGCCATAAAGTGTGACCTGCCATTGAGCCAATCAATGTGCATCTGGAATCTATTCAAATGGACCATCCCACAGTACTCCCTGCTCCCACCCCCCCAAAAAAAACCCAAACATTATGACAATAACAGAGGAGACGATCTATTAAGATGGAATTTCTCAGCAAGGAAGTAACAATTATGTTTCTGATGTTAGTGGCTGTTCTAGGGTGATGTCCCAGTTTGGAAGACCCAGTGTAACAACTAAAGGGTAAAATCCTTTCATAAAGTGCCTACCCCACTCCCAATCCATGAAAAATTCCAGTGTTCAGAGCCTTGTGTGAGAAAGTCATGGTCAAAATAACCAACATGATTGTTAACCACTGCCTCTTTTGAAAACCACAACACCCAATAAGAGAGAGAGAGAGAACAAAACGGAATGCCCTGCCACAGAGGCAGGGTGGGATGGAGGGGAGAGAGGGTGGGAGGGATACTGGGATCC